TCACTGTTATCCTCTCAGTTTTGCTGTGAACCTAAAACTTCCCTAAAAAATAAAATCTGTTTTTAAAAAATATTTAAATAAAATACTGTGCTTACATGGTAGAGCCACACTTGGAGAACCTTGAGAACCTGCCTTTTCATTAGGCTGAGTGTTGAGGCAAAATTAGATCCTCTGTTGAATCGAAAGTTCCTTGGATCCTACATCCTGCTCGTTGTCAGCCCAGATGGACACATAGACCCTGAAGAATCTCCATATGTTTAATTTACCCTTTTGTTTTAATAGGTAATGAGCAGGGATTGGAGAAAATAATCAAGCTGTGCTTTCCTGGCATAAAATATTTAGTTTGCTACCCCCATCATACACCAATTACTAAATAATTTCCAGAAACTTATTTTTAAGGGGAAGACCTGTAGTGAAGTTTACTGGGAATGCAGTTCTTAGTATTGTTAAAATGAGAGGTGAACATTGTTCTCTAAATTTACAAGGTATGCCTGGGTTTAACTTTTTCTCGTTCAGCCCTTGGAATAACTATGAAATCTATTTCTAATACCAGTCCTTTTTTTCACAAGGGTTTCTTTTTCTGGACTGTTGTAATATCTTCTGTCCTGGTTGCCTTGCTTCTACTCTTGGCTTTATTGCAGTGTTCTCCACACTGCAGCCAGAGCAGTCTTTCTAGAATTGCATTGTTCAGTATGATAGCCATTAACCATTGTGACTGTTTGAATTTAAATGAAAGTTAAAAATCAAAAGTCAGTCCTCAGCCACACTAGGCACATTTCACATACTCAGTAGCCACTTGTGGCTAGTGGCTACCAAAATGGGCAGTGCAGGTAGAGAACATTTCAGGAAGTTCTATTAGACAGTGTTGTTTAAAAGCATAAATTAAATAATCTTATTCACTTTTGCAACCAGAATGCCTTAATTAGCCAGTAGGCCCTATAAAAATTTTCCTTATCTCTGCTTTTTCTCTTTACATAATTCTTTATTCATAATACTCCAAACACATCAGCATTTTTTAAAAGCATTTCCGTCCTGGGTTTTATTGAGTAGGTAGTTAAAGAAATGTTCTAGAGCTGGCCTTCTTTCTGTTATTTGATTATGCCACAGTTTTTTTCCTTTTCTCAGGGCCTTTGCACTTGTTATTCTTTCTGTTTGGAACATGCTTCCCCCCAGATATTCACATGATTGCCTCCTCATCATTTAAAAATGTCAACTCGAATGTTACCTCTGCAGGAGATTCTTCCCTGTCTATCCTAAAGCCCCTCCTTTAAGGTTTTGATCATATTACCCTGTTTTTATTATCTTCATAGATTTATCTTTAAATGTCTTAAATTGGTGTGTTTGCCTACCCTAATACACTTTTCCCCACTAGAGTGAAGCTTTTTTTCTTCCAGTTTTATTGAGATGTAATTGACATACAGCATTATATAAATTTAAGGAGTACAGCATAATGATGTGACTTAGATATATCATGAAATGATTATCACAGTAAGTTTAGTGAACACATCTCAAATAGACAAAAATTTTTTTTAACTTTTTTTGAGTTATAGTCATTTTACAATGTTGTGTCAAATTCCACTGTAGAGCACAATTTTTCAGTTATACATGAACATACGTACATTCATTATTACATTCTCTTTTGCTGTGAGCTCAAATAGACAAAAAATCAAAGAAAATACAAAGTATTTTTTCTTGTGATGAAAATTCTTAGGATTTAGTCTTAACAGCTTTCATATATAACATATAGCAGTGTTAATTATGTTGTACATCACATCCCTAGTACTTATTTATCTTGTAACTGGAAATTTGTACATTTTGACTACCTTCATCAAATTACCCTTCCTCCTACCTCCCAGCTTTGCTAACCACAAATCTGATCTTATTTTCTATGCATTTGTTTTTGAAGAATAATTGACTTGTAACACTGAGTTCCTGTTGCACGACATAGTGATTCTGTATTTCTATACATTTCAAAATGATCCCCCGATAAGTCTAGTTATGATGTGTCACCATAGAAAGGTATTGCATATTGACTATATTCCCTTGTACTGTACATTTCATACTTCTGACTCATTTTGCAACTGGAAGTCTGTACCTCTTAATCTCTCTCACCTGTTTCTTTCCTTTTCCTACCTCGTTCCCCTCTTGCAACCCCGTTTGTTCTCTGTTTCTGTTTTGTACGTTTTGTTCATTTGTTTTGTTTTTTAAATTCCACCTATTAGTAAAATCACACAGTATTTGTCTTCCTCTGACTTATTTCACTTAGCGTATTACCCTCTAGTTCTATCTATGTTGTCACAAGTGGCAAGGTTTCATTTTTTAATGGCTGAGTAATATTCCATTGTTCATACCACATCTTTATTGATGGGCACTTAGGTACTTCCATATCTTGGCTATTGTAAATGATACTGCAGTGAACATAGCAGTGGACATGTCTTTTCTAATCAGTGTTTTTGTTTTCTTTGGATAAATACCCAGGAGTGGAATTGCTGGATCATAAATTAGCTCTATTTTTAATATTTTGAGGAGTCTCCGTACTGTTTTCCATAGTGGCTGAACCAGTTTACATTCCTACCAGCAGTGCACAAAGGTTCCCTTTTCTCTACTTCCTCACAAACACTTGTTATTTGTTGTCTTTTTCATAATAGCCATTCTGACAGGTGTGGGGTGATACCTTATTGTGCTTTTTAAAATATTTTTATTATTGTATTATTTAATTATTTTATTTTGGCGGGGGGGTAATTAGGTTTATTTATTTTTAGGGGAGGTACTGGGGACTGAACCCAGGACTTTGTGCATGCTAAGCATGCACTCTACTGCCTGAGCTGTACCCTCT